TCCCAGCAATGTTCAGAAACATAAACAAGGCTGCTTTAGTGTGGCAAGGCACATCATGGGTGATACTTATCCATAAGCAGGACGCTCCGTCTTGCGGCTGGGTCAGCGTTTACGGTATTTTCGTGGTGTACCACCTTGTTTCCTTAGGAATTTCGGAGGCTTGTAAGGTGACCGCGGTGGGTGAGACGATTTGTAGGGAGACCCCGTGTCTTTGGATAGATGATTCAAGGCGAGCAAAGCAGCCTCCGATGGGTCTTAGAAAGACAAACGCTGACCCGAAGTGGAAGTAATGTAGAGTGTAGCTGGATAGGCTAACGTGAATCTGATCTGGCGTTTCACCAGGGTGGAGCATATTTCATTGAATGCTTTTCTTTTCTTGGCTACGTCCGCCGAGTAGTCCGCAAATAGCAGTAAGCGATGTCCATCCACCTCCAACGATTTGTTCGGCCGAAATTTCTGCAGCACCTCCACTCTGTCCGCGTAATTGAGATAGCGCACAATCACGGGGCGAGGGGTGGCACCGTCCTCTCTGGGGGGGTCTAGGCGGTGCGCCCGTTCCACTAGACATGGTGCTCGTATCCCCAGTGCTTCTGGTAGATCTGTTGCACAAAGCTTACCCAGTACCTTTGGCTTGTACGTTTCGGGCAGGCCCACAATCCTGAGGTTATTTCTTCTGGAGCGGTTCTCCAGATCATCGATACTGACTTGCATGGATTGTTGCGCCTGATCGTAGAGAGAAAGCTTTGCTTGTGCTTCAAGTGGATCATCTTCCAGGGAGGAGATGCGCTGCTCCGCCGCAGAAATAGATCTGGCCTGGGCAGAGATGTCCTTTCTCATCTGAGAGAGCCCATTCTGAATTGCCACTTCCACCGCTGCCTTTATGGTGGGCTTCAGTAATTTGGCCACCGCTGCAGCGATGCGGGTACGAGATGGGTCCACATCCATATCATCCAGTGAGGAGGCTGGTGAAGGGCTGCGGCGGCTCTGCCTGTCAGCAGCGTCCTCCATCTTGGCTGCACCGGCAGTGAAATTGTTTGTCCTTGCCGATACCGATGCTTGTATCGGTATCGGTGCATCCCTAGTTAATACTTACCTGTGTGTGCCCCGCGCGTTCCCGTCCTAAAATGTGAAAATTCTCGGGCGGCCGCAAGCATCTTGGGGCAGGTGCATGCGCAGATCACATTTTCGGCCGGGACGCGAGAAGAGACACAAGGTAAGTCTATGGACGCGTGCACCCGCATGCAGACAAAGTGGGACAGGAAGTGCCAGCAAGCTCAGAGGAGTCAGCGCTGGATTGGAGACCCGCTTGTGTACGGTGGTCCTAAAGTGGTTAAAGTGAAGTTTCACCTTTTGCAAAAAAATTATAAATGCCTACTCCTTTATAAGAGAAAGAAAAGAAAAAGAAACCATGGCCAGAAAGGTGCACTTAGCCTTTAACTGTAAGCCATGATTGTGTGTTTGCAATTGTCTCAACTCCAGACACATTGTATGGTATGTCTGAATCATCATTATACTTTGTATGCACAGGGTTAAAGGAAACCATTAATAGGTTTGCTTTCTGCTCTTCTAAGTTATACAGAACTCTTCAAAGTGCATTACTTGTGCTTAGAATTTTGTCATTTTGCCCACATCACTCCATTGACAGAAAACCTTGGTGTATCCCTGACCTTTCTATTCACATTCTAGTTTACAATGAGAGTATAAAGAACCACTGGCAATATGTAGGATGTGTCTTTAGATGTGTACACCTCGCATGCCAACTCTCATAACACTTATTGCTTTAAGAAGGTAAGATTAAAAAATGCAATTATATTGTTGTTTTTGTAACATTTATAATTGTATGATACTTGTGAATTCATTGTGAATGAAAAGGAGTCTAAAGATAGAATCATAATAAAGTAACACTTAAGAATCTTTTGTACTGTTGGATGAGTAAATACAACTAAGCTAAACAAAAGTTGTTCTGAAATAAAAATAAGTGTTGATGACATTGCTTATGTATCATAAAAATAAAAAAAGCACTATGCAGAAAGCTTAGGTTTCACAACAGATTTACAGAGCTATGAAGGCATTGTATTTATGTATGGCTATTTCATACATGGTTCAATTGTTTAATTCAAATATCCTATTGTTCAATGTCCTATGGATGTTCTATATGGATTGCACAGTAGACTATTAAAGTTCCTTTCTGAAATTAAAATGAAGTTATGTGGACTAAGAAAAGTGAAAATTTGGTTTCTTATAGGGAACATCTACAAATGATAATTGTAGATGTGCACCGAAATGGAATTTTCAGGCCAAAACCGAAAATATAAAAATTTGTCAGGCCAAAGCTGAATCCGAAATTTTTTTTTTTGTAACCTTTTAAAAAAAATGATTTAATGTTTTTTTATTTACTTTACTGTTGGGGCTCTGGGGAAATGTCAGGGGTCTAAACAGATGCCTGATATCTCCCTTTTGAAATAGAAAAAGAGTCCTCAGTCTCTTTCTCTGAAGTCCCTGCTATGAATGAACAGGAAGAGATAGTATCAGTTACTATGACCACAATCATGAAGGAACAGGAAGTGATGTAGAGCACTTCCTGTTCATTCATAATTGGGGACACAGTAAGCATACTATGTTTTCAATTATTTACAAACACTCAGCGATCAGCTGATCGTTGAGTGTTTGTAACCGATCTCCATCCTGACTCGCTGTCTCTGAAGGCTGAGCGGGCGGTGCAGGAGGAGAGCTCGGCCTCCTGTGATACAGCTGACACCTCCCCTGCACCGCTGGCTTAGCCACCTGTGACAGCTAACAGCTGTCTCCTGCCCGCACTGCTCTCCATTCTGGGGGCCGCGACCTGGTACCAGCAAGCAGCTACACCCACCCCCACCAACATCAGCCCTGGTGAAAACTGGCTGGTGCTTAAACTCTGCACCTCAGTAGAGCCTGTTTCACCTGCCAGGGGGTGTCGCCTTAACAGTTTTAGGGTATAACAAGCTAACCTGAAAACAGAAGGTAGGTGTTTTGTGAGTAATTACAACTATAAGGGACTGGTTGTTCATGACCAGATCCCTAATGGGGGTGGGGAGTTACTGAAGGGACACTGTAGATTAAATTATCTGCTGCCTCTGAATCAACAAACTAAGGATTGCATGAGGTACTGAATTCAAAGTAACATTATACAGGATTTAAAATAGGTGTAACAGTTTGCATAGTGCTTTACAAATAAAGGGAGACAGTAGAGTTACAATACAATTCAAGACAAGAGGGTCAGGAGGGTCCTGCTCATGAGAGCTTACAATCTAAAGGGGAAGGGCAAGTAATAGAAAAGATAGTAGCAGTGTGGGGATGAGTTGTTTCAGAGTAAAATTTCATTTGTTAGCTAGGGGTGGGATAGGCTTCCCTTAAGAGATGAGATTTCATGGGGACAAAGGGAATGTCCTCAAACAACCTAAGGATGCTGGGCTGTCATTGAATGACAACTGGGTGGAGCCAGCAGTTACATCACCGTTGTATGCTACTGTTTGTATGGTAAAGAAGAACTTTACGTTCACAAAACAAAGTGGTAAGAACTTGGACAGACTGCCAGAGTATTATCTGCGCGGGGGGGAGCTGTGTGTTTATATTACAGCCTTGGGCAGTTCCATGTGATTAATGTACTACGCAACCAGGGCTGGATTTCCATTCCGGGCACCTGTAGGCACAAATGAAAATCTGTTTAGCAGGACCGCAGCCTTCCACATATGCAGAGAAGGACCCTGGCGCAGCATAAGGCTTCCCTAAATGTGTGCACCTTTCTTGCTATTGCTGGTGTTGTGCCATGGCCGGGAATTAGGCAGAGTAGGTACCTGCATGGTGCCCCTCTATGGAGGGCGTCTGTGTGCATGTGCCTGCCCTTCCTAATAGTAAATCTGGCCCTGCACGCAACACACCTACTGTGCAATAACAGTGCAGAAGGTGTGTTGCATTGCCATTCATATGAATGGCACCCTGAACACACCTCCTGCCCGCGATGTGATCGACTGCACCACAACATGCGGTACTGCAATACTGTACATTGTTGTGTGGTTGGAAAAGTAGTGCATGCACTACGTTTTTCAGCCCAATACAACGCATGCTATTGTGGTACAGCATGTTGCAAATGGTTGATCGTAATGCCGCAAAAGGCATTTGGGGTGCCTTTTAAGCGAATGGCAACGCACCTCACGCACCGTTGACGCACTGTAGGTGTGTTACACTGTACCGTGCATTACTCGCACAGAACTGTGTAATTAAGACATGGCCCTGGTGTAAATGAGCCCTTAAAAAATGCCTATGTCCATTCTACTAAGGAGTCATGTAGACTGACGTAATTAAACACTCATATCGATGATGGAACTTACTAGCAGAAGCTTGCAGAAAGCTCCAGCGTGAAAAAATGTGTGTAAGTGTAAAGTACTTGTGTCTATGAGTGCACATAAACCCGTGTGAAAATTAAATCTAATGGCTAGAATATCAATGCATTCTAGCCACTTCAATTAATCTCCATGTGTATACCCAAACACACATAAATTACTCCAGTTTGCTCCTCTCCAAACGGGAGTTTGGGGCATATTTTCTTGTCTTGGAAGCTTCTGTAGATTACAGATCTAAGCACCACAATTATTAATATTATTATTATTATACAGGATTTATATATAGCGCCAACAATGTGCAGGGGCACACTGGTGATTATAAATCTGTGCTCAAAGGCGTAAAACAAAAAAGTAGCTTATTTCTAAAAGGACATTAATCCTTGCACAGAAAATGGAAGTGTCATATCGCCTACAATATGTACTGAAAATAATATAACAATGAAGAAGTTGCACCTACAAATGTAGCACTATTTATTTCCGTCAGATTACTCAATGTCATGATTCTGTTTATTCCTTTTCTAGTCTCATAACAACACGACTCTTTCTAAGCATATTTTGTTCTAGTAATTGCCAGTGCATGCATGTGATTTGTGTCTCCCCATAAATCCTGTACGTAGTAACACTGCTCCACCTCCTGGATTGCAGAGGGATGGTTCAATCCTGCAGATTGCTGGATGGTACTAGAATGTAAAGCATCATCACTGTCCATCCAGTGCTGAGACTGTTCGGAGATCTGAGAGCAACCACAGTGCAGCATCACCAGCATGACCCAGGGAAAGGTAATCCTATTCATCAATGAGTGTACTAGAAGCAAAACATATACGTATATACATTGTAGACAGTCTGCATACTTACAGTTGCTTTGTAATAATCAATAACCTAGAAATGAATGTTATATAAGTCTGTCTGCATGGTTATATAGCTTTCTTGTACATTATGTAACATCAAATACCATGTCAGCTAATGCTGCAGCACCCCCGAGCAGGTAAGCATAAAAATCATATCAATCCAAGACATTATTTATCCCAAAAAGCATCACCTTTCACTTATAGGTAACTGAAGATGAAACTCATGCCATGAATAATGTAATGTGCGTTCACTTCCAGGAGAGTGAAAAACACCAGCATCAGGGTATATCACTACTGCGTCACAGAAACGACAATGCAGGCAATTAAGCAGAAGGGGAGCACCGGCTCGCTCTGGCAAGGCCCAATATAGTGCAGGATTTAACCCCTTTGGTGCTGCACCACAGGGAGGCATAGGATGTCTTGAAGGGAGCTTTGTCGCCCAAAGCGAACAAAATTTAGGACAGTCAGATGCAGATAAATACTTTAGATAGACACATAGACACGCAGCTGATAAAATATATGAAAATATTATCATAGCTCTCATTTTTAAGATGTCACAGCTGCCACAATTGAGTTAAGAGCAGCACCAGAAATGTCTATCGAATAGATGCAAATGTAAAGTCATTATTATACTATTTAATTAATACTGAAATTATAGTTATAGTAGTTGCCACAATTTATATTATAGCTGCCACAATTTAGTTACAAGTAGGGTAGAAACAACACCCATGAGTGTTGGGGTAAGAGCAGCACCAGAGATGCCTATCAAGCAAAAAGTCTACATTTCTATTGATATTATAGCTGCCACCATTGAGCTACAATTTATAATATAGCTGCCACAGTTTATATTATAGCAGCCCCAATTGAGTTACAAGCAGGGTAATAGTACTACCCATGAGTGTTGGGGTAGGAGCAGCACCAGATGACTCTATCGGATAAAGAGTTAATGCAAATGCAAAGTCATCATTATTCTATTTCATTAATATTGAAATTATAGCTGCCACATTTGAGTTACAAGTAGGGTAGTAACACCACCCATGATTGTTGGGGTAACGGCAATGTCAGAACTGCCTATCAGGTAAAATGTTACTGGAAATCTAAAGTCTACATTATACTATTTCATTTCTATTGATATTATAGCTGCCACCGTTGAACTACAATTTATATTATAACTGCCACCATTTATATTATAGCTGCCAGAATTGAGTTACAAGTAGGCTAGGAACAGTACCCATGGGTGTTGGGGAAGGAGCAGCACCATAAATTCCTATCAGATAAAGAGTTAATGGAAATAGAAAGTAATTATTATACTATTTCCTTTAGAGATTAATAAAGCTGTTCACAAAAGGGTGAAGAGTTTGGAGAAGGCGGAGAAGTGAACAATCTAGGACAACATAGCTGAACTTGAAAAATTCTCCAATTCAGCTCACTTTCCAGTTTAGCTATGTTGTCCTAGATTGTTCACTTCTCCTGCCTTCTCCAAATTCTTCACCCTTTTGTGAATAGCCTGTAAAAATATAAACCTGGTCTAAAAGTAGGACATGGGGGTTGATTCACTCTAGAAATAAAAATGAAATGGTAGTGGAGCTGGTGCTAATAATACCCAATCAAATGCTACTTTCAGATTCCCAGAGAAGACAAGATGGAGCCTCGTTCATTGCTGAGGGCAGCTTTTCTAATTTTGCTCCACTTTGCTTTCCTTGAACCAGCCCCACTGTATTAAGATGAGAACTTATAGCGGACCTTCACTCCCATATAAACTTTGCATCCTGGAAATCCTCCCCACAATTTAAAAGGCCCACTTTTTATTAACTTTTTTTTCCCATATTTATTTCCATTTTTAACACCAACCCCCCTCGACTCCATTCTCGCCTGGCCAAGAATGGCATAATCTTTGCTCCAGCAGACTCCTGGGATTTCAACATCAGACATCTTAGGAGGCATTGACCTCTACACGGATAGACTTTTGTCCTTCTTTCCTTATGTCATTGGGCTCCAGTTGCAGGAACCCGGAAGAGACAGACAACTCCCAATGGCGCAGGGAAAGAAGAACAATGCTGGATTCGCTGGGCATGAGAATGTGTTCATTGTGGATGACTTCAGCAACGTAGGTAAGAGTGGATCTTAAAAAAAAAAAACCCACATAGGGTGAGGGGTGAATTTCCTCTTTAGTGAAGTAACTAGCTACAAGGAGGTCACACATTTATGTTCTTTTCTTGGTGGCAGTGGTGGATCCGCTAATCTATGGTTTAAAACGTTGATGCCTCTGCCCCAACATTTTGTGTCTTTGCCCATCCCCTCCACAATATACTGAAGAGTTGGTTGGTGACCACAGTTTATGGGAATATTTTTACTCAGTTACAACATACTTGGGAAGAGCTGCCACCCACCGGAGCTAAGATTACAATCCCTAGCACTAAGAATTATGGAGCACCATGTAAATAAGCTGATTTCACTGGGAAGCTTGGAAATTTAAATTGTGTAAAATTGTATCTGTGCCATGCTATGTAGAGATTAAAGGCTCATATAATGCTTGGTAGAGTTCTGTCTTTGTTCAAAATATTTATATGTGCACATTGCTGTATGACTGAAGAGCGTCTCCCACACAGTATGATTCACAAGCATGAGACAAACATATTGCAACACAATCCATTTGTACAGTTTGGGCTGGAACTATGCCTTCTAGATACTATTTCCTGTGGCGGAAATTATTTCATTATAAAGGTATAACTTTTACTCTGAATTGACCTTTACTTCTTAAATTGGCCATACACAGTTAAGATTGTAGCTCTTTCCCACTGAAATGGCTAAAATTTGATCGGTGGTGGCCCTGTCAAACCCCATGTGGCTCGACAAAAGTCAGTTTTTTCAGTGACTTTTGTCAAAAGAGCCACGTGTAAAATTGTCAGGCACCAGTGACTGCAGCCAATAGGATGAAGTCACTTTTTGGGTATTCTGACAGCCGGCGCTCCGCAGAGAAGATTCCTCCGTCTATGATGTTTAGCGTGGATGGAAGAACCGAAAGATCTCTTTCAGAACTAAAGGAAAACAATCTTAGTAAGTAAGGTCAGCTTAATGCCCCTCCACTGCCTTAAAATCTGTTTTTATCTGTGCCAATATTAGTCTAGTAAGGAAAGCAATAGTAGTCTAATTAGTAGTAGTACTCTCAGAGCTCCTTCAGCATTAAATGCATCCTATGTTACATGCAGCATCCAACAGGCACATGCTATTACATAGTAACCCTTGCATTCCCTGTTATTTCTGCAGAGGGCACATTTAGTGGTTAGCACTTCTGCCAACAGCACTTGGGGTCCCTGGTTCATATAACGGTCAGACATCTGCAAGGATTTTCATGTTCTCCTTGTGTGTGGGTTTGCTCCAGGTGCTCAGATTTCCTACCACATTCCAAAGACATACTGGAAGGTTAATTGGCTCCTATCTAAATTGGCCCTGTATGCATGTGAGATAGGGGTCTTAGATTGTAAGCTCCTCATGGGCCAGGACTGATGTGAATGTGCTGTATGTAAAGTGCTGTGTAAATTGTCAGTGTTATATAAATACCTGTAATAAATAAATAGATAAAAAATGAAGGGGTTGTTACATTTACTACCGGTATCTTCTGAATGAGCAGTCACTTCAGCAGCTTCACTTCATGGCAAACTTGAGTATATTTACTTCTATCTACACTGCATATTATGTATTTACAGGTCACTGTTAGCAACAAAAGTGCGGAGAATGGAGGGGGAAATGGAAATAACACCGTGAATCCCTCTGCACCACCTTCCTATGAAGAGGCCACGTCAGAAGATGGAAAGAAGGCCAATTACCTTGTGACAACTCCATCCAACATATATCCTGGCTGGACACAAGAGGATGCAGGTAGTCTTTATGATAGGTGCCACCAGCACAGATCACAGTTGTGCTCTTTTTTTTTTATTACTCTAGAAAGTAAAATTTGAACATTTTTCACACTGGATATTTAAGTCTGTACCAACATAATGAAAGAAGATGAGTGATAAATATAATTTATAATGTTGATGATTTTATTTTCCTAAATCACAATGTAACATCCTTCAGAATGGAGGTGTTACACTTAACTGTGCACTAGTAACAGACAAAGGACATGAAAGAGTAGGGAAGTGTAAATAGGCGCTTTAGTCATTTTTTTCAGCCATGAGTATTTCAATGAATACTGAAAATACCAAGAATTAAGATTGACACTAGACCGGTGAGTCTTTATACTGTTTGATGGTTAACATAACAGTATGATATGAATAAGCTGTGAAAGTGTTAATTGTGATAGGCACATTTGATTATTATTATTATACAGGATTTATATAGCGCCAACAGTTTGTGCAGCGCTTTACAACATAGGGAAGACATTATAATTACAATACAATTCAAGACACAATGGTAAGGAGGGCCCTGCCCGTGAGGGCTTACAATCTAAGAGTTTGATATTTGATATTTAACATCAACTGTAAAGACCCATTTACACCACAATGCTGTACGCTGTAACACACACATGGTTTGGATGTGCATTGCTTTAGCAGTGCGTTAAACAGCCCATTCAAAATAAATGAGCGGAGAAGCCCAGGAACACACATGAAAATTATGCAGGCAGCATTTTATCACAGGATAGGACACAGGGCACCATGCCTTGTGCTGCTCTGCAGTGCAGAGTGTTGGGATGCCTTTTACAATGAATGGCACAAGGCAACGATACATGTAACGTGCATTGTTGCATGTTGTGCATCACCGCAGCATAATGGCGTAAATGGACCCCAAGTGCAAAAGTCTGAGCACATTTGGCCGCCCAAATTCCAGTTCATTTGACTAGTGTGATCGCTCCATACTGTGCCCTGGCCCAGTTGAAAAAGTGGTCTGGGGCATGGTTTAGTTGGACTCCGGCACGGTACACATATGTACAATCTTTAAACCATGCCCAAGCAGTGAAGTCTCATGGATCACTGTGCACTCTTGGTGCACGCATACATCAATCACTGGGGTCTTTATGAGTCACTCCACATTTGTATGTCTATATAAGTTCACATTTCTGTGTACACTTCTGTCAATGTTAAGCCTGATGAAGGGACTCTGCGTGGCCCCGAAAGTGCTTGTTTTTACTTTACATGGTTCTTTTTAAATGAACAGATGGTTATCCTGAAAGGATTTTTGGTGTGCTGTTGGCATCTCTTCAAATGACACAGTGTGGCAGAACCACGAAGTTCTCTCTGCTCAAGGCAGTAGAGAGAGCTACTGTACATGACTGGGAAGAGTAGTTCATGGGGCTTTGAGAGGTGACCTGACCGGGTCCTCCCCCTCCTTTTTATCTGTTTGTTAATAACTGCCATTTTATCACTGCTCCATTAAGAGCTACTGGGGCAGAAAGGTGAGCGTGTGAATCTGCTAAATCTCTTTGGCATGTCCACCATGCAACGTGGGCAAGACAGACAGGGAGCTGAAGGGAGTGAGCTTCCTGTGTACTTATTCCTCCACAGGAGCCTAGATGGGTAGTTAGTGATGATGCATGCAGCCACCATTTTGGTTCACTTTAAAAGGTAGAACAGAGCAAAATCTTAGTTAATGTTGAAAAAGCATTTATATTACTGTTTGAATAAGTGTACTCAGCTCATTAAAATGTTGACTTTTGAAAAAGGGTGAAGTTTTCCTTTAACCACTTGATGCCCGGGGTGTTAAAAGAGAACTATGAGGTGAGTGATTTCCACTCCACCTTATAGTTTGAGCCGACGTGTGACAATGGAACTGTCACACGATGGCTCAATAGATCAGGAATTGAGCGAATGCATACCGTCGCTCGCTCACTTCTCGATCCTGTCCCTGCAGAGAGCTGTGACTGTCACTCACTGCTCCCTGCAGGGATTCCCCCCCTCCCCCCTCCCCATCCGATCCTCCAGCGTGGACTGGCGGAACAGACGAGGAGAGGGCGGGTACAGCTGGCTCTGCCTCTAGATAGACAGAGCCAGCTGTCACTCACGCAGCTGGGTGGACTTCAAAATTAATGTCAGGATCCGTCCCAGCTGCTGCGGTCTCAGTATATCGCGAGCTGTAGCTACTGACCTTAGGAGAACTATGGGGGAAAACACTTAAACCCCCTTCCTGGCCATGCCATTTTTCAGTATTTAGCGCTGCTGTACTTTGACTGACATTTATTCCGTCATGCAACGCTGTACTGAAATGAATTTTATATCATTTTTTGGGGGACATTTAATCACCACTAGGGGGTTTTTATTTTCTACTGCATAAAGAAAAAAAGTACAAAACATTTTGAAAAACAAAACTATTTTCACTACGTTATGCTATGAAATATTTTTTATTACCCAATTTGTTTGTAAAATATAAAAGACGGGGCCATGTCGTGTAAATAGACACCAAACATGTCAAGCCTTAAAACTGCGTGCACCCGCAAAATCGCAACACACTACCACACCCAAAATTGGCCATAGACAATGCTTTAAAAGCTTTTAGTGCTCATCAATTTAGTGTTAACAGTGACTGATGGCCCTAGAATTATTGCTCGCACTCTGAAGTTCGCGGTCTTATGTAACATGTGCGGCGCAGTTGTTGTTTTCACACGTAAGCACAACCAAGGCATGTTTGAGCCCCCTAACAAGCCCTCTATGTGATAGCACAGACAGAGTGACAGGTCCTCCTTTATTGAAACATCTGGGGTCTATTAGACACCTAATGTCACCTAGGGACCTCCAAATACAGCACAGGTCTGCTTCACTAGCTTCTTCTCTGGCTACAACAGCCAGGGAAATGACACACTGAAACCATCCGGAGATCAGAGGGGAGATCAGACACTGGAAGTGTGCTGATCTCTCTCCGATCCAGGCAACAAGACCCACCGTGCTGGTCCAGGGCCCGCACTGGGAACAGTGAAGCTCAGGATAGCCATTGGCGGAGGGGGGTTGGGTGGTGTCGCAAACGCCCATGCACCCTGCAAGCGATCGGGCGGCTCTATAGCCACCTGAACGCTTGTATGTAACAGCCGTTATATTTCTACCATGTCCTGCTTGGGGGGGGCGCCCAAGCAGGAAAACAATGCCGTACATGTACGGTAACCCATAGTTGCATCTGTGTAGTAATCCCGTGTGTAGGAGCTTCCTGTCATAAAGACACTGCTGCTCTCTCCTTGTGCATGGTGACTGGTCTTGTCTCCGCCCCCTCCTGTTGTTTTCTGTAGGCAGCCTGTAGTGGGTGGGGCCTGCTGGATCCCTCCCACAGCTCTGCTCTCAGCACAGGCTATGTAAAGCACGGTGATGATGTTACTGCTATGTTCACAAGGTTATAACTGGGTTTGCAAAAGTATCTGGTGCACAGAAAGTGGATTGATATCCTTTGTGGCTATTGAACAATATATTTAAATGAAATTTGTTCTGTGCTCAGGGGTCAGCTTTAAACCCTAACTAAGGAATCATATTCTTAAACCCTCATTTCACACTGCTGTTAAATTTACCCCCACACTGCTTGGGTGAACTGCTAATTTGGCTGGGGGGGGAGAAATTCATACACTTATTTTATTTCTTGCTTGTTACACTCTCTTCAGCTTTCCGCTCAGCTCACTGATGTCATTGGTTGCCAGGGATCTGAGCGGAAAGCTCTGGCTGGCGTGCTGCTGAGCTCCTGGCAACCAGTGGCGTCAGTGAGCTGGGTGGGACCGCTTCGCTTTTCTGACGACCATTATCACCGAAGCACAACTTCCACCCTGCTCTATGATCTCAGGTGGCGTAAAGGATAGGGACGGCCCTGTAAGTGCCAATGCACAGCCAACTAGCAGTCCTAGGGTGAAAGTGCTCTTCCAGCATAGATACACTCAGTGTTGTCACCAAAGCATAGGAGGTTGCAGGGATCAACAGGATCAGTAAGTTAATGCCTAGATCAGCAGGTACAAATCATATAAAAAGCAAGCCTTCAGATACATGGGAATGAACTTACAACAGTTTTTTCGGAGGAGTTTAATTTACTTTATGCATCTGAAGCCAAAACGTCTTTTTTAGCTTTGAATAGAGCGGAAAGAGACTAGAACACTTGTCATGTTTTAATTGCTGTCTGTGTCCCCGTTAGGGTGAATCACTCTATTTGCCCTGGTGTCCCTTTCACACGGGTGGTTCGATTGGGCCTGTCTGACAGTTTTCAGGTGAACCCGATTGGATGCTCAGTACCAGTCTATGGGCAGCCGGGTCTAAATGGATGGGAGTCTGTTTACATCTAGTTACCCCCAATTCCAGCCAGGTATGGAAAAACAAATGGAACAGTATTCTGTTTTGCCAGACCTGATCATGCCGGATGGGGATAATCTCATGTTAACGGACACAGATGGCCAAAAAGCTGACATGGGTTAAAACCCTCCAAAACTTTATCCAAAACTGAAAGAAAAGTTTTGGCTTCAGTTCTTAAAGGTATGACCAATATGACCAGTATTTTGTCTATCACTGTATATTGACGATAATAATTTTATCTGACACTTTCTCAGAATTCCTCTTTAAACAGCAACATGGATACATTGTTGTGCTTGTTCATTCATAATATACAGAATACAATTGAAAAGCCTTGCTTTATGACACTGGTGGGCAGCTGACCATCCCTCTCTGTTACAGGGAACAGCCCCAGCTACAGCGGCGGACCCTATTCCGGAGACACCGAGATGCTGACATCACAGAGCTGGGAAGATAACAGAGTGCGCAGGTCATTTATTAGGAAGGTATGTGTGGGGGCAGACCTCCATCGATAATGTGCAGGAAGTCTGGATGACTACAATGTAAATATTTCTGATCAGTGAGAGTAAGTGCCGAGAGCTGAGCTGTGGGAACAGAATGACATTGTTCTACTCCAGAGAATGATATCACTGATGATATGGAGACATTTCTGCTTTTACAATCGTCCTAATGTTTCTCTTTTCCAGGTCTATTCAATCCTGTCACTTCAGCTTTTAGTCACTGTCTCCATTGTGGCTCTCTTTACCTTCTGGTGAGTTCTTGCTGAGTATATTATAAACACTGTATTTTGACACAAGAATTTATATTAGAAATGCATTCAAGTACCTTAAGGCCTGGTGCACACCTAGACGACAGCTTTTTTGTGTGTTTTAATGTGCGTTTTATGCGCATACGGCAAAAAGCGTGTTTTGTTGAGCAGATTGTACCTCACTGATGTTAATGAGAAAAAGCACATAAAACTTGCATACAAACGGGTGAAAACACAGCAAACTGACTTTTTCAAGTGTTTCCTATTCAGTCTATGGGGCCAAAACCAGCTGTAATATGCAAAAAGAAAAGCTCCTGAATTTTTTCCAGCGACAGGCGTTTTGCTTACTGCGACAAAACGCTCATATGTGAACAGGGCCATAGAAATGATAGGGATTTTTGGGGGGGCAGATTTTTGGAGCGTTTTTAGGGCAGAAAAGCGCTACAAAATGCTCAGTGTGAACCAGGACTAACTATTAACAAAAATGTATCTTATTTGTGTATCACTCAGCTGAAGATCCTCAAATCATCTCTGAAACTGTTCCAAGGTCATTCCTGTGATGTGACTACAATCTCCTGTTTAGTTTACTCATTAGTATTGAGATTGTAGTTCATCACGGGAGCGAGCTTGGAGCGGTGACTACTTTACAACAAACACAGGGACCATGGGGAACAAAAGTAGCCACCCTCCAGAAGGAAGGACAGTGTCGGCACCAATTCAGAGATGATTTGAGGATCTACAGCCAAGTGATACACAAATAAGATACATTTTTGTTAATAGTTAAGGTACTTGAATGCCTTTTTTAAAGTTAGCTCCTGAGTTTAGTGTCACTTGAACTATACATACATAGGTCCAGCTTGGCTCAATGTAAGTATTTATATCTGATCTCTGGAGGGCTCCGAGGATGCTTATAATCACTGTAGTAGTCTGCATTACATACAGTGATAGCTGGTCTTCCCCAGTGATAGCTGGTCTTCCCCAGTGATAGCTGGTCTTCATCCAGTGATAGCTGGTCTTCATCCAGTGATAGCTGGTCTTCCCCAGTGATAGCTGGTCTTCATCCAGTGATAGCTGTTCTTCATCCAGTGATAGCTGGTCTTCCCCTGTGATAGCTGGTCTTCATCCAGTGATAGCTGGTCTTCCCCAGTGATAGCTGGTCTTCATCCAGTGATAGCTGGTCTTGGACGAGTTGGAGATCAAGCTGGACCAATGGATGTTTCTATGAAAGATTACTTCTGGAGTTCAGCTTTAAGCACATGATGACAACATATATCACTAAGTACATGTTCACATACCTGGGTCAGCAGTTTGAAAAACAGGTTAAAAGTGCAATGCATGATGTCAGTTTTCCTGACTAGATCTACAGATTAAAATAGTAAGAAACGGTATTAAGTCCAAATAGAACCTTCCTATAAAATTACTGCAATGCAGTCAGGATGCATAAACAGTAATCACCAGCACTCACATGTACTATTGTTAATGCAGCCTGACTGTATTACAGTACTAACATACAAAGGTTCAACTGGGCTTTAAATAACAAGAATTTGCAATAAGCTGTCAGTTATAATGGCATGAATATACGCATGATAAGATAACATAGGGGCATTTGCACCTACTATAGTGCCCATGACAGTCATTTTCCCATTGGAGTACAAGTCTGTCCTAGAAGACCTTGTACGCACTTATGGCAGCAATTGACTGCGGAACTTCTAGCTGTATGTAATTTGTAAAAGACAGTTAGGGACTATATTATATCCATACATTTGCTGCTGTGTTTAATATTCTTGCATTATTGCATTGCATGTTCATAATCCAACAATATTTTGTATTTCACAGTTTTTTGTTTTTTTTAATACTATAACAGACAGAGTTTGTGTGTAGTTTGAACTGTGTCTGAGAGGAGTAATATTACACTAGAAATAATAATATAATTATTTTTAATATTCCAATATCATTATTCATAATAATAATGATAATAATAATATCATTAACAACAACATTAATATCATCAATATCAACATCATTATTATCATCAACATCATTAATATAATCAATATCAACATCATTAATATAATCAATATCATTAATATCATCAATTTCATTAATATCATCAACAACAACAATAACAGCATGTCACTTGTCTTTCAGTGATCCAGTTAAGGAATATGTCCAGGCAAACCCAGGCTGGTATTGGGCTTCCTAGTGAGTATTTATATTTGTTTGCTATGTTTTTTGCTATGTTTAATAGCTTCATTATGATTCTAGATATCAGGGCCCATTCACATTTGTTTATTTTGATGGGAATGTATAGCAATTTTGTAAATATTTTCTTTATTATGGCCACAATGAAAAAAATTAAAATGTTAAATATTTTTCTTTATTTAGATAAATGTAAAATGTTGTTTATGTAAATTGTGAGGATTTTTTTATCCAGCTGTTCATCTTATTTTAGAGCCTGTTAAACAGAGCCTGTTTAGTAGCTCAAGCTAAATTTTTACACAGACCTCAATTACTAATAGCAGAAATCATCATTATTGTATGACTCAATCTGATGTTTCAGGAATCCTTTGCAAAGTTTTATATCAAATTTAGAAGTAGAAAAAAAAACTAGGAGGGTACTCCCTGCAAAACAGTGCATCTGTGCAAATCACATACGTAATAGCACTATATGCACTTTTTACCATATAGTCTATCATCTATCATTATGGGAGCATGCTTAAGGGATAACGTAAGTGTGCCTAAGCTGAAGTATACAGGATTTAAAAAAGCAAAACAGCAAAGCACAGAAGCCTAAACTCTCTAATATTCTTTAGTTGCAATTTGTAAATCTTTACATGTGTGAAAGCAGCACTCCAGTCTAAGGGGTCTATTCACGAAGCTGCCGAAGGATCTAGCCGTAGCTTCGGCCGATCCTTCGGCTAGCTTCGGCCCCAGGACCCCTTTGGTTCAGTAGAACCGAAGGGGTGCTGTACGGGCTATTCACAATAGCCCGTACAGCTCCCGAACGTGGCCGAGTGGCTTAGTCGAGCCGAAAGCATATGCCTCGGCTCGGCTGAGCCACGATGAAAGCCGAAGCTGGCCGAGCGGCCGGCCGACAGCCTGCTTCTGACAGCTGGGCGGAGCCACCCGTGATCTTACGGCTGACTCCGGCCACTTGCAGAGAGATCAGTGTCCCTGGTTACCTGCTAACCAGTGACACTGATCTCCAAACAGCAAACTCTCCCTGGCGCTCCGGGAGTCTCTCGCTCCTGGCCGCCCATGATCATCGGCTCACTTCACTTGGGGTCGGTTGTTCACTCGGCTGCCCTCGGCAGCTTAGTGAATAGACCCGTAAATGTTTCTTCAGAACCTTCATCCTTTTGGCCGTCATCTTCTATTTGCCGGACTCAATTGATCCTTTTGGAGTTGCTACTCAGAAATGTTTAGCATTCCATGAAGAAGCATGGGCCCATTTTTTTGCTTACAGTTTTATAAATGAGCCAACACAAGATTATTAAGTGTGCGGTGTGATGAAACCCCACGGCAACCGATCGATTTTTATTATTATAGAGTACCAAGATGAAAATAATCTCTGCTGCCAATCCATATGTCACAAATGAAGACTGAATAATCAAAGTTGTCAGTGTAAAATAAGACATCAAACCAAGGCTATTTCTTAACTCCTTCATGGTGGAGGGTAAAACAAACCTTAAAGCGGACCTTTATACTGAAACATCGAATTCTACCAATGCATCCCTCTATGTATGATGATTAATAACATAGACATGTAAGGTGTAAAATGCTGTGATTTTGAAATACTACAAGAAGGACAGGAAGTAAAGGAAAATCTCCACAATGGGACAGAGATCGCAAAAAAAAGTTGAAGGGGTTTTAACTAGGGATGTCCAGATACAAGTTCAGATACCAGTGCCGATACTTGGCATTTTCATGAGAACTACCAGGGTTGCAGAGGTTGCAGCTGGGACCTGGCTTTGGCTCTCCACCACTGTCCTGAAATCATTAGTTTGTATTGTTTTAGAAAAACTGTCACATGACAATAAACACAAATGTATCAGTACTTGTATCTGTAAGTACTTGGACAAGTATCAGTGCAACCCCTTATACAGTATTTATTTATAAAAACAAAATCATACCATAAAACAGAGATGTAAAAATCCCAGGAGCTCCGTGAACTCCTTTCAAATGACAGCTGCCTCTTAACTTTTGATTTTTTTTTTCTCTAGTCTAGTCTTGGAGCTTGAAAAGTATCTGTACTTGTACTTGTACCGAGTATGGTACTTGGCATCGGTGCATCCCTAGTTTTAACTATTCCCTACTCCAAAATGGAAAAAAAGAAAAGATTTGGCTTGGATACACTTTAGGGGTGTGTTTGTAAAATGCTCGCAGAGCGAGCTGCCCTGTGAACAGCTGAATTTTAGATTTTCCCCATATGCCACTAGAAGGAGCCGAGGAGCATAACGAGGAGTGGCCATTACGCGGTGCCAATCTAAAACTCAGATGTTTGCAGAGCTGTTCACTCTGGGAACGTTTTATAGATACACCCCTAAGTGTAAATAAGTACCTTCATTATATATGAAATGGCTTCCTTGATCATAAATGTATGAAATAGACTATGTACTACTAACTGCCTGTTGGTTTTGATTTGACAGCATTGTTTTCCTCACAACATACTTGGTTCTGGCCTGCTGCAGCGGACCAAGGTGAGAACCTGCCTAATGATATTTTGTGGAGTTGAAGGATAATATTGTGAGTTTCACAAGGAAGGAAAAGTTATTTGAACTGAGATTTTAGGCAGACTTTAAGTAAAAGAGTAAAAGAGACCATAGAGGCATGGAGGGGGGGGGGTCCCTTTAAGATGGAAGTCACACATTTACGCACAAACTGGTCTCTGCTCTGTCTTTGTCTTCCTCAATTTGAATAGACATACTTTACATAGACAACTCGGCTGATAACTTTGTCATCCTAAATGTTTTTGATCACATTTCTGCACACGTGGGGGCCAGGCAATGACCATTGATGGGGTTACTGAATAAAGTATACACACAAACAGTGCAGACAAACGACAAAGTTTATTAGTAATCCACAGAGACCAAAAAGTAATTTACTGACATCTAATGGCTTCTGATTTTACAATGTCCAATCCTGATACAATGTGTGCTGTAAAGTTGATCTCGTTGTGCATTCTTTTTTGCAGGAGGTACTTCCCATGGAACCTCATTCTGCTGTGCATCTTTGTAAGTGCTAAGACTATTTAAGAGCAGTTTCCCCTAAGCAGAATAATAGTAAAACCATATTTTATATAGAGTGCTTTGGAATGGTTGAATATGGATATACTGTGTATATGTTGTAAAAGAGATATCCAGTTATTACACATGTAATTGTGACCGAGTCTTGCTGACCAACCAGTGTGTAGCCCAGTCAGTACCCCCCTACTGGTTAACAAAAGTTAATTTTTCAATTCGCTTTTGTCAAAGGCGTTGGTCTGAAAAATCTCAGCCAATCAGCAATTGCTAAACTCACTAAGTAGGAGGTGTGGACTCAGGTCGCCTAGGGTGGGGTCTGGGAAGTACCATTACTGGATTGACTCAGCCAATCAGCTGCAGTCACTGTTTAGCTATTCTTGTCCTCATAAAATAGCCTGGCAGGGGTGATTCCCACATCAATGATGTACACTTGTATGGGGGAATCCGGAGTTCTTCCTTGTTCAGCCCAATATAAGGCCAGTTTAAAGGTTTTCAATCATGTAGTAGTAAGTTACATCTAACTGGCCTTGTTTAGCAATGTTGACATTGTTTCACCACTCATCTAAGAGTCTTCCTCAGTACAAATGAGTGTGGCTACATACTAGGGATGCACCGATACCGATGCTAGTATCAGTGCCGATACCGAGTATTTGGGCGAGTACTCCTGCTCGCCCAAATGCTCCGGATGCCTTTCTCGATACAGGAACTTCTGGTATCAGGAAGCCGAGCAGCGAGTCATTACACACTGCCCAGCTTCCTGATTGGCTGGGAAGCTGGCACCATGCTCCCTCACCAGGGAGCATGGAGCTGGCTTCCCAGCCAATAAGGAAGCCGGGCATGGGTAATGACTCGCTCTTCGAATTCCTGATTGGCCAGGAAACCGGCTCCATGATCCCTCGACACTTGGTGACAAGGAAGCATGGAGCCGGCTTCCCGACCAATCAGGAAGCCTGGCAGTGTGTAATAACAACTTCCTAATTTGTTGAGTCATTACACACAGCCCGGATTCCTTAATGGGACTTCTGGTATCGGTATTCGGTATCGGCGAGTACCGAAAGAAATATCGGCACTCGTACTTGATACCAAAAAAAATGGTAACGGTGCATCCCTACTGCTGTATGGTCTTCCGGGCACGTCCGGCGACGAGTGTGCGTTCCAGGGTGGAACGCACCCGGAAGTGCATCACCGCTGTTCACGCCTCTCCACTATGACGCCGGCCGATGCATTCCACCCTGGAACGCGGAAGCGGCGAGACGTGTCATTCAGTTTCCCGCGCTAGCGGGCTATTTAAAGGCTCCTGCGAGGTTAGCAAGGCGTTTCACTATTGAGGATCGAACGCCCTGCTAACCCTCCACCTAACCAGCCATTGGGACCTGCCAGCAATCGATTGTAACCAGCCATTGGGACCTACTAACCACCCTGTTGCCTCAGGACAGCTATCCACCTCCACAGCCTGCCAGGAGGATCTTCCACAGCTGCCACCACTGTGCTGATATCCACCCAGCAACTCCACTCTGCAACCACCGCTCTCCAATACTCCACTCTGCAAACCGCAAGTACTTTGCATCTATGGTTGCATTCGTAATGCTAGTGAACTTCTTACATTGATCTAGTACTGTGGATACCATTTACTTTATTACTTTGGAGTACTTTGATGTTTTGACACTACTTGCCCACTACTCTTCCTAAAGTTATATGAATCATATGTTCTCACTTAACAGTGGCCTATGAAGTAATAGCCACTACTGCTCCGCTGAGTTACGTACCGATATATGATGCACGAACCTCTAACTCGCCGTTAGTTGTGAGTGAAGCCAGAGGTTCAAGCCTGAATTACCGTCATATTACTCAGTCCAGAGTCCAACCCACCCTAATAACTCCGTCGCTGAGATCCTGTTACATATCCGCTGGGACCCGGGCGTGACAACTACATACCGCAACATTTATACTCACATGGGTCATCAAGAATCATAGTCACCCTAATCCAAACACCATGACATGTGTAAAACAAATGCTGATTGTCCCAGGCATAACCGGTGGTGTAAAAAGTATGAAAACAGTGTTCTGCTTAACGTAACTCTGGTCTCCTTGGTGCCATGAAGGTTTGGGATAGAAGTGAATTGTTAAAGGTATGTGGCTGAAGTTGTGAATTGATGTCAAATTGCCAGGGCAAAGGTGGAAAAATTGTATTATCAGCAAGTGTTGGGAACCAAATACCCAGTACTTCCAGGTATGAAAGATCATGTGACTTACTCCATGTGACAGCACTGGGCCAATAAGCATTGTCCCACAAGCAGTATATAGCCCTATGTAAGCTAAGACTCTGTTGACTCATGGCTTTCCTTCCATCCCATTGGCTGAACTGAGAGGCAGAGGAAAGGAAGGTAAAAATTCCTGAAGCTGGGGAGTGCTAGTGAACCTGTGAACCTTTACCTTTACCATGCATGGGCAAATCACAGGCTTACATTAAGGTAGTATGTTATATTTCTTAATATAGATAAGCCCAGCATCACATGCAGGTTTTGTGATAAAAATATGTTTCCTTCCATCCAAGGCTTCATTTTATAAAGGCGCAAAAGCTTATCCAGCCAGGGCTTGTATGATGCTGCCTTAGACAAAAAAAATCATCACCGTCTCAAACAATACAATATGCTCCAGTGTTAAATATATAATATGTAACTTGTACATTTTTATTATTTTGTATTTCTTTAGACACTTTCCATGTCATACATTACTGGAATGATCTCCAGGTAAGGAGGCACTGTCTAACAACCTTCTACATATCTCCCAGCATTGTGAGATGAGATAGAGGGACACCTTTTAGCACAAACTATGTATGCAAAGGACATGCAACTCATGCTTAAAAATGGCATACACCTGCCATTCTATCAGTTATGCGGACCACTGAGGATTAACATTCAAAAAATTACTGGTTCAAGCCACTGGTCCTTCATTTTCACCACTACATTTCCTTTATACTGGCTTTTTAAAATAGAAAATGTGATTTTAGAGTTTGGCTGAAAGGTTCAGTGTAATATAACACTTTTGGTAGTTAAGCAGTACATATTTTTTTATAGAAGTCTATACATCAAACACAAAAGAAGGAAAGCTAAAGAGGAAAGAGGTATACTAAGTATGGACAGCCCTACCCAATGGAGGACATTGGGAGCTATGCATACTGTATATACTATGCCTGCATGCTGATATCAACTGCTTCCTACAGACTTTTGTATAATAATCCAAAGAATATCCCACGTGAGGTCAAAACTATACATTCCTGTAGTGGTATAGGTTTTGTTCTTTAATAACTTAAAGTGACACTAAACACAGGAGTTAAATCTTAAAAAATGCATTCAAGTAGCTGAACTATTAACAAAAATGTATCTTATTTGTGTATCACTCGACTGTAGATCCTCAAATCATCTCTGAATTGGTGCTGACACTGTCCTTTCTTCTGGAGGGTGGCTACTTTTGTTCCCCATGGCCCCTGTGTGTGTTGTAAAGTAGCCAGTCTCAGTGCAAAAGCCAATACAGTAATACCTTGGTTTACAAGTAACTTGGTTTGAGAGTGTTTTGCAAGACAAGCAAACATTTCTGAAAAATGTTGCCTTGATATACAAGCAATGTCTTGCAATAAGAGCAAAAGTTTGTAGAAAAGCACCCCCCGAATAAGGCTGTAGCAGTGCAAGCGATGAGTCTATTTAACGACAATGCAATGTCACATTGGATAGATTCCTTGTTAAGGTTTCACGAAATGAAAAAGATTCCATTGAGTCAAGAGATAGCAGTGATTCCGTTAGTGATAGTGAAAGTCGTCCTACACAATAATCCTCCTCTCAATTGTCCCCCTCACACCAGCCATGAAGGTACCGGTAATTGGTTTATTTTTCTTTATATTTTGTACAGTATTATATTACAGTACAGTATTGTAATCATTTTTATATGAATATTTTTGGGTTGTGGAACGAATCATCTGAATTTCCATTATTTCCAATGGGGAAATTCGCTTTGCTATACAAGCGCTTTGGATTACAAGCATGCTTCCAGAACGAACTATGCTCGTAAACCAAGGTATTACTGTAGTAATATTGTTTCACCATGGAAATGCCAATTTTTTTTGGGTGTTGTAGAAGTCCCCCTTCTTAAGGGCTACAAAAATATAAAACTGTGATATAATCAATGCCTAATTTCACAAGAATTGCATACAAATATTTATTTTTAAAAAACGCAGAAAGAAAATAATTATACATTCAAAAGTTGAATTAGAAGGTGAATTCATCCATATTAAACCTACTAAAGATCCCAATTCTCAAAACATAGGGGTCTATTTACAACAATTCATAGAGCCATTCGCCCAGCAAATCTCTGTAAATATTAGTTCTATGTTTTCTATGCTCCTCAGATCTATCTTGTGGCCATAATGCTGTATTACATTACATTGGAACTGAAAAGAAAATATACTAGTAACATTTGGTTTTGCGTCTATTTGCACAGAACAAACGCTCACAACGATTTGCAGGGTGAATGGCTCTGTGAATTGTTCATAAATAGACCCCATAGTGTACCCTATTATGCATAACTAACTTCCAAAATATACATGATAAAAAGGTTAATAAGCTATCATAACCATCAAAATTTGTTTTAATATAAACAGACAATTTTAATATACAAAAGTTAGCCATTATTTAATTGGCAGATTACCTGAAGAGGATCAAAAATGTGAGATCTGGACCTGGCAATAAAGACGCACAGTGATAACTGATTACTACGCATAATGGCATACACTATGTTTTGAAACTCTTACACATCGATTGGCACTCCTTTTCTCTAACCTATAGTCATCATTTCCTATAGACCACTCACAGAAGTCCTAGGCCAAATAAAGTTGACTCCAATATACCTTTTAACTACACACTCCTTACCATTTGAAGAATGCTGATTGAAGAGCTGTATGCCCAGCACAGTAGGGGGCGCATCAGACAGATGCAATGGGGTCCACTGCCTATAGAGAAATGTATGTGTAATGTCTATACATATAGGGGAACTAGTAAATAGCACCTCTACAGTATATCCAAACTTGAAGAAGCTTATGTGCAGTATCTGTTCTTGCTAATCTTAACTGTCTTAACAATAGGTTACACTGGTTCAGAGATGTCAGTGTCTATTGTTCAATTCTTTTAGTGTGCACTGACTCAATGAGGTTCATTTTAAAGACTATGCCTCCAATACATAATTCTTATCACCATATTCCCGCTGCCTCTAAATAATCCAGTCCAGACCTTACCCAATGGGATTTAGCTGCCATTTTATAGTTGCAAGATTATCGTGCTTAAAAACGGCAAATTAGGTTTCTCACTGTGTGACTTTTATCTTCCCAGTTATTATAATACCACCTCTGTGATCCTGTGTCTTGGAATTACCGCACTTGTCTGCATTTCCGTCACTTTATTCAGCTTCCAAACCAAGGTAAGAGGTCGGGAAAACCAAATAATCATCATAAATAAAAAGGCTACTGGTGGAGTTACGGTGTGGAAACTGTGCATTAAACTGAAATTTATGTCCCCAAACATCAGAGTGGTATGCAGGACTGGATGACTGCACTAATTAGATGTGTATGGAGGAAATATCTGGTACATGTGGATATTGGGACACATGCTGCAGACTTCAGATGTTGCTTAAGCTGGCCATACACTTTACAACCCTCGCAAGACTTTTGTCTTGCGAGGGTTGTAAAGTAATTTTAAAAAAACGTATGATCTGCCCATCATGGACAGGCAGAGCGTACTTGCGATCATCACAAACCCTCCCCGCTGAGGGGCGGGCTTCCGATGACTGCAATGCTAAACGGGCAGTGTGCGCGTGCGCACACCGGCCCGTTCTGCAGCTTTTTAACATGCACGCCACTAACCGGCCGAGAATCGTACGATTCTCGGTGGGTTTTCCAGCCTGCTTGTTCGACGGAAGACGTGCAATCGTACAGTAGAAACGGTCGCACACCTTCTATACACTTTGCGATTACTATTCCTACTGTACGGTCACACGACTTTTGTATGTAGAGCATGTTGGAAAACCAGCCGAGAATCGTACGATTTTCGACTGGTTTTTAACATGATCGAGAGACAACTGCCAAACGGGCCGGTGTGGGCACGCGCACACTGCCCATTCAGCATTGCAGTCAGCATTCAGCATTGCAGTCAGACAACTGCCAAACGGGCCGGTGTGCGCACGCGCACACTGCCCGTTCAGCATCCCGTTAAGCATTGCAGTACGATCTGCCTGTCCAAGATGGGCAGATCGTACGTTTTTTAAATTACTTTACAACCCTCGCAAGACAAAAGTCTTGTAAGGGTTGTATAGTGTATGGGCACCTTTAGACTGGGATTTGGAAATACGCATACTCTCACTAATAGGTTGGACTTGATGGACTAATGTCTTTATTCAACCTCAAATACTATGTAACTATGTATCTTCTTGCTGTTTAAATGACAATATGCACATATAAATCAGTTAATGTGACTTTCACCAAACATTTAATTGGTGGTGAATCATTCACTGTCATTTAAAACACATGCACCTGGTAGATTCAGCTGAAGTAAATATGTGTTGAATGTCAGATTAATTGCTTCATAAATATGACCCTATGTATCTGTAGCTAGGGTTTAAAATACTGGCAGAAAATGGAGAAATTTTTTAGAAGTGCCTTTTCATTTTTAAATAAATATGCAGCATGAATAATTATTTATCAAGCACTGCGGTTTGTAAATGTAAAAAGCCCAGTATGGCGTATTGGAGTGTTGCATCCCCAGTCCGGTTTTTATTGCTTTTTGTGTCTGTGTTGGGAAATTTCCCTCTCTTTAATGTCAACTGGACAGGATAGAAAGTAATGGGAAAACCAAAATTCTACAGTTGTCGTCATAACAGGAGAGGAAACCATCCAATGGGCCAGACTGTTATGGTGACAACTGGCCGAGAGGGGGTTTTGCCAAACTTTGGAGAGTTTGCTACCTTTTTTGTTCTGTCTCCATATTACTCCAGACTAAAATGAGATGTGGCTATAGATATACCAGTGAGTTAATTTTTCTATTAAGTTTACACTATAAGAATCAAGGAGAGTTGGAGCCTAAGGCATAACTATGTAGTGACAAGGTACCCAGGCAGTTGGGTAATATTGCACACCCATGACCTGAATGTATGTGATCATTGCCCCATTTCTTCCAGAAATGACTTGGCCATGAACTTGACTGCATGAATCTGAATCTTTTAGGGCCCATTCACACTGCAGCATTTCTGAATGGCACACCAACACACCTGGTAGATAGAAATGTGTTAAACCACAGTGCACTGTGCCACAATGCACTAATGTGTGTTTCAATATGCAGCAGGAATGATACATGCACCTTTTTTTGCATTACACAGCCTATTCAAAATGAATGGGCTACCTTAACACAACACATGTTGACCTGCGCCATAAAGTGCACCAAAATGGTTGCCTTAATGCACCACAGCAGTGTGAATGAGTCCTAACAAAAAAAAAAGACAACTATGTAATGCAAAGGAAGAACAAACATACAGCTGGCAATACAAACCCCTTACACTATAGTCCAAACATTGTGTAAAGTTCCTTTCACTTGATGAAGTGAAGGCTAAAGGGCTGAAGCACACTTTACTCTGCAGTTTGTTGTGCGTTACTGCAACACACGGTACTTGCATTAGCACATTGAAGTTCCATTCATTTTTAATAGCACCGTAATGCACTAAGGTATTGAAGCTCTGACGCGTATGCGTTGCAACAACTCACGGCTCTCCTGCATGTGCATTTTCTGTCCATCATTATTTGTTGCAGCCAATTGAAAATAAATGGATTCCCTAATGCAACAAATTTTAACTCGTAACACAATATGCGTTAATGCAACGCACAAGAACAGCAGAGCGTGAATGGACCCTGAGGATTTCACTGAGACAGACAAAAATGTCAATCAGCAGAAGCCTCATTTCCACAGCATAGAGAGGGGTCAACAAACTGGTCTCCTGAATATGGAGAAAAAAGGCTTCTTTTATCCTAAGTTATTTAACCTGCACCGAAACAAATTCATTTAGTTACTACATACTGCAGCGTAAAACATGATTAGCTATTAAGTCATGCACAAAGTCATATGGAGGTAACTTCCTTTTTCACATAGCTTTCTGCACCATCTATGATGAATAATACACTACACACATGATCACCATAGATAATCTTAAAAAGAGTGTCTATGTGCTGCCATCAATCCTGTGTTACAATGAAAGACATGGCTCCTTATGATATTGAACAACAGACAAAGAGTAGAAGTATTAAGACATATGACATTTACGTAGAAAAGATATAAAATTATGACTATGCATGCACAGTTAATGGTTCTACCCAACTAATACATCAGCTTTTTGTACCCCAGACCATGAAACGCCCTGTACACGTAACTGTTATTGATGAGGCTCTTACACTACCCTGCTTGTGTGTGTAGAGTACTCATCACCATTCGGAGGAATTCATTCATCCAACACCCAATGTGACTGGATGTCAAACACTCACTGTACTAGCAGTCTATTTTTGGATCCTCCTAAAAGCTTAAAGCCGAAGCCTGTGAAAAAAATAATAATTTACACTGCACTGGGTGTATAAATGATCCCTAAAAAGCTGTGTGTTACGTATGAAGGACGGCTGCAAAGTATAAAAATCTTACCTTACAGCTTGCCGACTCCTACACATAATGCCGAGCTTACAGGCACTGCGGGGAGTGAGGGATGTAACTCAAGTAGTGAATTAATACAGTTGTTTCCCCGCCCCTCCTTACTACTTCCCATTCACTAAACACCTTGTATTTATCTCAACGAATACAGGGTGTTTTGTGGTTAAAGGAGAGAAGATGTCACATTCCCACCCCTCCTTTTCTCCAATCACAGTACACATTGCATTCTTTGAGATAAATACAAGGCATTTTGTGAATGGGCAAGTAGTATGGAGGGGCAGGGATGCGCTAGAGCAGTGGTTCTCAACCTGTGTAACCTCAGGACCCACATTTGTCCTTGGTTATTAAGTCGCGACCCAAGTCGCACTGCAATGGATAGGGTACGGTACGGGCGTATGAACTGTGGGTGGGAGGTACGTTTGGGGTGCTATTCAAATGAATGGCAACTCAACACACCGCCCACACCAGAATGTACGGTAGGTGCAATTGTGTGGTACATTGCGTTAATGGCATGGTACTATGCAATTAATGCACTGTACCTAGTGTTAACGGGCCCTCAAAAACACTGACATGCTTATACAACCACAGACACAATCTCACACACTCACAGACATTCTCACATACACACTCCAACTTTTTTTAAATTTAATTAAAAATGTTTTAAGATATACCCAGTCTCCCTACCTTACGATAACTGGAGTGAATCCTCAGCCGGGAGTCCAATGTGGGTTGCTGTGCTGTGACGGAGGTCCATCCATATGTGTATTGCTTGTACATCTCCCTTGCATGCCCTGTGGAGGTGCTGGGAGCCAGAATGTGATGTCACCATGGCACCTCTACATGACATGTGAGGGCGATGTAAGCAATGCACGTGGATGGAGCTCCCTTGCGGCCATAGCCCCATCCCATCTCAAGCTGACACTCGGCGCCGGGCAGCATATTTTGAATGGCTGCTCGGCACGAGAACTGACAGTGTTGCGCTTGGGGGAGGCTGAGGAGCCTCTCACATAGAAAAGTGGAAGGCATGCGGCGACCCACTAAAAATGGGGTCACAACCCATTTTTGGCAGTTGAGAACCAAAGAGCTAGAGTACTTCACTACTTGCATACCTTACTCCCCGAGAGCCATGTGTAGGAGCTGGCACGTTGCAAGGCAAGATTTCTATTCTTTGCAGCTGCCCTCCACACATTACACACAGCTTTTTAATGATAATTTACATACTCCGTGCAGTGCATAAATGATCTTTTTTTCCCAGTGTTTGACTTTGAACAACCACACTGCATTTAGGCACCTCCAGCATTGCCTTGTGCTTGGCACATGATCTGTAATGGCAAAGGACCACACACATGGAAAGGCATGGAGGCACATACTTGGAGAATGTACCACTGCTAAGAAGACTGTGTGACTCTGCAGTAACAGTAACTAGTTTTGTAGAGTACTAAGGGATGGTAACCAGCCTAGGCTCTACTGCACCAGGGGCCGAGTCCAGTCCCAACTGCTTTACCCCTCCTCCCACACCAGTGGTTGTAAAGCGATCTTTACAATGTATTTTGTCTTCTATTATAGGTGGATTTCACTTCCTGTCATGGTGTTCTGTTTGTGCTCGTTATGGTTCTTTTCTTCAGTGGCCTATTCCTTGTGATCCTAATCCCGTTTCAATATGTAAGTACGCATGTTGTTTTACATTTTAGGACCAAGCTGTCATATACTGTATATATACCCAGGAACAGACTGATCTCATTCACCTTCCTAAACAACTTGAATTATTCTTTCCCTTTAACCACAGATCTTTTGTGTTCACATGTCTATACAATAAAATTGTTACAAATCAGGGGTAGGCAACCTCAGCCTTCTGGCTGTTCTGGAACTACAAGTCTCATGAGGCATTGCAAGGCTCTGACAGCTACAGGCATGATTCCCAGAGTCGAGGCATAATGGAATTTGTGATTACACCAAAGCTGGAGCGCCGAGGTTTCCTATATATATAATATAAGTTGTATTTTGTATGTGCTGAAATATTAATTTCCTAATATTATTCACTCTACAGACCTATGTAGTAAAAAACTGGGGGACATCTGCTGCTCCATAACAGACCCTGTCACCAACTCATACCTTTTAAGTTAAACTCTTGCCAGGACCTTGGCAAACGCTAGGGAGTGGGGGGGACTCTGTAGTGTCAGAGGTGATTAAAAAGGCAAGATCATTTTTAAACAATACAGTACAGCCCTGCATATGCCTTTTAGAGTTATTTAACTTGCTTGTCTTACCAGTCCCTAGATTTAGACTAGGTTCACACGTAGGCAACAACTTCAAGGAGTCACCAAGGTGTGACCTGCGGTGTGTGCCATTATTTTCTAATGGTACCCCAGTCGCGATTCCGCCCATGCTTTTGAACACGATTGTGGCTAAAACAGCCGCTCGTCGTGTATTGCAAAAAAAAGATACTTGTACCTTTTTTCTGCGATTGCCACGCGGATGTCATCCCATTGAGATCAATGGGACCCTGCGGCAATTGCTGCCTGCATTGTACAGGACTGCGCGATCCCGGGACGCGCGTCCTGGGTGTCGTGCGGTGTAGTGCAGGTGTGAACCAAGCCTAAGTGGCTGCATTTGTTTTCTTTTCTGGTGATTCAGCCAGTGAAACACTTCTGTCCTAGGGTGAAAACTCCTACTCAGTGTATTCTGTCTGTCTGTATTCTGTCCTTGGCTGCTTGCTTCCTATTTGGACTATGGAATACCTCCTCCGCTCCTCATCTCCATAACGTAGTGGGGAATATGTTCTCCAGTTCACAGAGTGAACTGGGCAGGGCTGATTATTATTATTATTATTGTACAGGATTTATATATATAACACTTTGAATTTCAGTGCAACAGTGGCCAAGTGAACAGGAAGTTATAAGCTCTCTTGATTTCTGGCTGGATCAATGTTTATTCTTGTGTCCTTAACAAACAGATTTAACAGAACACTTTTAATGGAAAATGTAACAGACTAAAAGGAAACAAATAAGAGACGTTCATTGTTAGGACTTACATACATTTTCATCTTACCACTAAGGCCAGGAACTAAGCTGCCTTTCCACAATCAATCGTATATAGCTCGCTATTTACTGAGCTTTGGGTCACGGGAGGACGTTAGTGTATGTGCTCCTGTGACCCTAAAGAGAACTATGGGATAAAAAGGTTACCCCATAGTTCTCTTTTAAAAATCTGTAATCAAGCAACCATAATCAGTGATTAGCAATAAAAACTGTAGAAAAACAATATATAACAAACCATTCTTTACTGTCTCTCCAGGTGCCATGGCTTCATGCAGTCTATGCAGCACTAGGAGCCATTGTATTTACTCTGGTAAGTGCAAGTGTGTTTTTTTTCTGTCTTGTACGCAGTATATGCTTACATATGGGATGATAGGGGAACCAAACATTTCACACAAATATTTTCAAACTCATATCTACACACACAGTAATTGAAGGCATGGATACAGTACATACTGTATACACATATGAGCCAGCACACAGACATTTACTGTACAAACACACACACATGGATACATTACATACATATACAGGTTCAACAATGCATATGTTTTATACACAAAGGATACCATGGATAACCAATGCTTCTACTACAAGCCAGAGATTTTCTCATGTCTCAGACTAAAGGTCATGTTTTCAGAGAGACTGATATATGACTAAAGGCTGCCATATTTCCCAAGAAACAGCCATGTTCCCAGGAAAACTACTGTTACCAGATATAAGACTATGATACCAGATACTGTCATGTTCATAAGGAGACTGCTAAGTTACAAGATACTGTCATATTTTCAATTTATCATATGTTCCCAGGGAAACATTGTTCACCTGATGGAGGGACCCTATGTGGCCCCAAAACGTTTGCTTTGTGATTATGTGAACATGTGTCAATAAAAGATGTTCTTGCTGTTGGTTATGTGTTTAGATAAAGCACTAAGATCTTGAGAAAAGCTGAATTAGGTTTTACTTGTTTAGAGGAACATTGCATACATGTATATAGGAATACAGCATTACACAGGATACATATAGAAAACTAGCATACACTAGACGTGCACTACAGCACCATCTAGTGCTCAAAAGACAATATTACATCATCATAAGCTGTTGTATTTCCAACACTTGCATCACTATTGGAATGCCAATTACTTTTTCTGATCTTCATTATCACTGACCTGAGATATCTTCACATTTGCCTCAATCATGCCATCACAGTAGGCACTGGAGTGCTATACACTTGAGGTTTGCTTTTTTATTCAGGATGTTTTCATAGTTTTCTTTTCTTTCCACAGTTCTTGGCATTTGACACCCAGATACTGATGGGTCGCCGGAGGTTCACACTTAGCCCAGAAGAGTATATCTTTGGAGCCCTCAACATCTATCTGGATATAATTTACATCTTCTCATTTTTCCTCCAGCTGTTTGGCACAACCCAAGACTGAAGATGTGCATTAAATTGCTGATTTTGCACACATGCAGTACCTGTGTACAACATCCCTGTAATCCAAGAACTCATTCATTCTGTCTTGCATATTGATTTACAACCAGTTGGCACCTATATGTGAACTGAAACACTAAATGCCACTTATGGCATGACATACACCTGATTACCAACAGACCATTCTCACTTGATATCTGAATAACACTTTCATGGCTTAATGTGAACTGAACCTTAATCATACAAGGCTTTAAAAAGTATTAGATACAGCAGACAAAACCAAGCAGGTGTGTCCTGCTAAGGCCTCATTCACACGAGAATCGGCAGGCACGTACAACTCTGTGCTGCATGCACGGCCGTATTATGCAGCTCACGGGAAGGACAGGTGCTGCATGTGATTAGTATGCAGCCCCTGTATTTCTCTACGGGACTACGGGGCCGTACGCCGCCCTGTGCTGACCCTCCTGCACGTCCGTACGTGACGAACGCCTTGTTCCAAACTTGGCATCTCACTTTGAACACCTGTCAGCGGTGTATTTGTCAGAGTATAGCCTCTCCTCTTCAATGCAGGACGGCTCAGTTTTGAAAGTGTACACAAGGCTGATCTCCTGTCCCATGCACAAACTCTTTCCAGGTATATAGAAGGAATCACATACATACTCTTCAAAGCCGGAGGGAGATGGTTAGCAGTCCATTGTGGATTGATTGTCAAGCTTGATTTTAGACACGGCAGTCTGTGTTCAAATGGGTCATGATGTCGGATTAGTTACACAAACACGTTAACGCATTTCGCCCCGCCTCCTCCAGGGCTTCATCAGAACTTAGAGGAGGGTGGAGGCAGAAGGTACTTATAAGAAAATCTGTAATTAGCCTCAACTCACATCATTAACCCGCTCTTGGTATATCAGTATATATAAATTCAGTAATATAACACAACCTCACATTCGAAAAATGTTTTACTGGGTATTTTTTCTTGATATCACAAAACTATAGCATTTACTGGTGGGATGTCTAGTAGGGATGAGCCGAACACCCCCGTGTTCGGTTCTAATTCGAACTTTCGAACATGGAAAAAGTTCTAATTCGAACTTAGAACTCAATGTAAGTCTATGGGGGTAGAACTCAGAAAATTAAATGTCCACATTTTGAAGCCTTATATGCAATTTATTGGCCATAAAAAGTGTATGGGGATCCGGGTACTGCCATGGGGGACATGTATCAATGAAAAAAACACTTTAAAAAAATACAATTTTTAAAGGAGCAGTGATTTAAATCACTTAAAATGAAACATTAAAAATGAAAAATTCCTTTAAATATGGTGCCTGGGGGGGGGGTCCCCTTTCACGGACCGTAAAGTGGCACATCTGTATGATGTATAGAACCTGCTGAAGCAAAAATGACATTTATAAAGAAAAAAATGACATTTAAATTGCCGGTAACTGTGTATTGGTAATTTAGTGATTTTTTGGATAAATTATGGTGCCTCTTTTGCAGGCTTTGGATGAAACTAACAACAGGTGCTTTAAAATTGGGCCTCTGGTGCCAGCTAGTGCCTTCACATATATATAGAACTCTATATATAGATCTATACAGATATATAGATCTCTATATCTATATATAGAGATCTATATATCTCTACATAGATATATAGAACTCTAATATATATATATCTAACTCTGCTATAACTCTCTATAACTCTTCTATAACTATCTATAACTCTGCTATAACTCTCTATCAATCTCAATAAATCTGCTGTCACTAACTCTACTAGAACTCTCTCTCTCTCTTTATCTCCTACAACACACTACATAGGGCCGTGGTATCAGCAGCATTATATAGTGTGCTGCAGGAACTTAGCTGTGAGACATGATTGGGCAGAGTCATCGTGACTTTGCCCAATCATGGCTCTAAATGTGTACTGAGCCCTGATTGGCACAGTCTTGCCCCTGACCTGAGGTCAGGTGCAAGACTGTAGCCAATTACAGTTTCGGAGAGCGCAGTGCATTGTGGGATGTTCCGCGGTCAAACAGACCACAAACATCCCGCAATGTTCAGCGTTCAGCGAACGCTAGGACAGGCTATGTTCGAGTCGAACCTATGTTCGATTCGAACATGCAGCCCATTACTAATGTTTAGTTCCAGAAGACATTGAAAGCAGACTACAAAAAACATTTGCAAATTAAATTCAATGTTCCAACCCCGTGGGGCTAATGTATTCAATCTATATATCCACATGTTTTATTTTTGTTCCAGTATCTTGTCAAAGTCTCCCCTTCTCTGGGGCAGATCTAGAACAAAAATTACCTTTACTTTAAGACCTTTTATTTGACTATTGTGGAATTGTGTAAAATGCTGTGCTGTAGGACTGTCCTTGTCATTACATTTAATATCCTGCATATGTTCGCCAATTCTAATTCTTAGCTGGCGTTTTGTTTTCCCCACGTAAAATGTATTACAAGGGCATTCCAATAGATAAACCACCCTCATCGTTGCACAATTGATGAAATGATTGATATAAAAGACCTTTTTACCCTCTCAGTCCCTAAAGATTTTTGTCTTTTCCACATGCGGAGAGATTTGACATTTTCCGCAGGGGAACATTCCCTTTACCTTACTGAGATCTGATAACCAGGTATTCAAAGGGCTAGGGGTATACTCAGAATGGACCAAATGGTCCTTTAAATTTCTCGCTCGTCGTGCAACCATTAGGGGGTATTCTCCCACAATTTTTGATAAATTCGGACAGAGTTGTAGGACGTGCCAATGTTTTTTTAGGATGCCTCGGAATTCATGCCATTTGGATCCATATTGTGTAGCCAGACAGACAAGATCATCATGTCTCTGTTCTTTCTTACCACCCTCATTTACAAGAATGGATTCCCTTGTTGTCTTGCCTATTATTTGTTGGCTGCGTCTAACCACTGCATGTGAATAGTCCCTCCTCCTAAATCTCCTGTAGAGGGATGCAGACTTTTCCCTATAGTTGCTTGTCTCTGAACAGTTCCGCTTTATCCTTTGGAACTGTCCTGTGGGGATACCCCTCACCAGAGAATCTGGGTGGTGGCTAGTCGCATGGAGTAGTGTGTTGGCTGCAGTGGGTTTACGAAATGTCCTGGTTTGTAACCTTCCCTCACAGGACCTAATTCGGAGGTCTAGGAAGGAGATCTCGGCTTCCTCTATTTCAAATGTTAATTTAATATTTCTGGTGTTCCTATTGAGGTCACCCACAAATAGTGAGAAGTCCTCCCTGGATCCCCAAAATGTCATCAATGTACCTGAGCCACAGCTGAACATTGTAGTGATTGTCCAGCTGGGGATTGTCCATTCCAGCTCAGGTACTGATGATGTACAAAGACTACCTCTGCCTCCCAATATCCCAGGTGGAGGCAGGCATAGGCGGTCACCCTAATTTGTTTATAGGATACACCTGCAAACTGAAATATATTATTCTGGAGGGCAAACTCTAATAGTTCTAGAAGGAATTAATTTTGTGGGCCTGCCTCTGGAAACCCTGTTTCTAAAAAGAATTCAACTGCTTCTAAGCCACAGTTATGCGGGATTGAGGTGTATAGAGATTCTACATCAATACTTGCCAATAAGGACCCCTTATCTATGTTTATGTCCTAAATCTTTTTAAGGACATCCCCTGTGAAACATAGGAAGGGAGCTGTATGACTAATTTTTTAAGCAGAGTATCAATGTACTTTCCCATATTTTCCAAAGGTCTGCCTACACCGGAGACTATTGGTCTACCTGGGGGATTCATCCTATCCTTGTGGATCTTAGGAATAATGTAGAAAGTTGGCACATTAAACCATTCAACCTTCATGAACTTGTGCACTTTTAAGGAGACAATCCCACCTCTTTTGATAATCCTAGCTTGAAATTAAGGTTGTGTTTTACTCTATCAAAGGGTGATATGTCAAGTTTGGTATAGGTGTTTGTGTCTCCTAGGAGGCGTTTTGCCTCCCTCACATACATTCTGTCAGCGTATGATCACGGACACTCGCACGGACGTGCAGGGCGGGTGAGCGTAGGGCTGCGTACGGCCGTGTAGTCCCATAGAGAAAAACAGAGGCTGCGTACTAATCACACGCAGCACCTGTCTTTCCCGGGAGCTGCCCGATATGTCCCTGCACGCAGCACAGAGCTGTACGTGGCGGCCGATTCTCGTGTAAATGAGGCCTTAATGTTCAATGCAAGTGGAAATTTCCAACGGCAATTTAACTGATTTTACATGACTTGTACCAGTTTGAAGCTGCTTAGTTGACATATATTGCACTTAATGTTGCTTTACAGCTGGATTTGCTGAATAATTTTGTTAAATAGTCATGAATTCCTCCATCATCTTCATCAGCATTGATTATTCCACCAGCACGACAACAAACATCTGACATGAATTCTGAGTGTTGTGCATGATAACTACTTTTGTATACTATCTGAGCTTTAGTACAATAAGAATAGAGCAAATATGCAGATTGATACAGTAAAGATTATTTTCTTCTGAACTGGCATTATGTTCCTTTTGTTCCTTTGTAAACATAAAGTGGATCTAATATGTATTCTGTTCTTAAAGTTAACCAGTCAGGATCTGACATGTGCCAGGAATTGCATGTTTATTTTTAAATGAATAAGTACTTTGATTTACTGTATATTACATTACTTAGAAACGTTGTCCGTTTGCCAAGTAAGTGCATTTGAGCATGCAAGAAACAATTAAACCTACTGCAGGTATGTGTGCTAGCGGATTTATTTTTACCTGAAGTGACACAATCACTTTAGAGCAGCCTTTCTTAACCAGGGTTCTATGGATCCATAGAGTGTCTCCAGAGGTTGCTAGGGGATCCAATGAGCAATTTCTAGCTCTAAAATAGGTAATCACTGAAACCAATGGTTTATTTAAGCTATCTGTAATGCATTTATCATCCCAATGACCACCAATGCAAGGAGCATTCTTCCCACTGACCACCAATGTATGTAGCATTCTTCCCACTGACCACCAATGAATGGAGCATTCTTCCCACTGACCACCAATGAATGGAGCATTATTCCCACTCACCACTGAACTAAGGAACATCCTTTCCACTGACCACCAATGTATGGAGTATTCTTCCCACTGACCACCAATGTAGGAGGCATTCTTCCCACTGCCCGCCAATGTAAGGTGTAGGGATGCACCGATACTAGTATCTGTGCCGATACTGAGTATTTGGGTGAGCACACGTACTCGCCCAAATGATCCCAATGC